CTGCCATACTTAAAGTTCCCGCTGCACAGATTTTATTAGCATGTCTGACGTACACTTGTTTATACATGTCTGCCTCTCTGCAGACGAACTGCCATACTTAAAGTTCCCGCTGCACAGATTTTATTAGCATGTCTGACGTACACTTGTTTATACATGTCTGCCTCTCTGCAGACGAACTGCCATACTTAAAGTTCCCGCTGCACAGATTTTATTAGCATGTCTGACGTACACTTGTTTATACATGTCTGCCTCTCTGCAGACGAACTGCCATACTTAAAGTTCCCGCTGCACAGATTTTATTAGCATGTCTGACGTACACTTGTTTATACATGTCTGCCTCTCTGCAGACGAGCTGCCATACTTAAAGTTCCCGCTGCACGAATTGGGTTTGCGTGTCTGACGTACACTTGTTTATACATGTCTGCCTCTCTGCAGACGAACTGCCATACTTAAACTTCCCGCTGCACACGGTAATGAAGCTGACGCCGCAGGCGTACGGATGCAAGGTTGAGGAGATACGGTTGAACATACCAGCCGTAAACACACACCGGCCGAAGCCATCGGTAAGTCTCTCCTCCTCCTCCTCCTCCTCCTCCTCCTCCTCCTTCTCTTCTCCTCCTCCTCCTCCTCCTCCTCTTCTCCTCCTCCTTCCCTTACATTGCGTGCGACGGCCGATTGCGCCATCTCGTGCATCCGATTCGGGTAAAATCTTTTCGATGCCGAGCGTACGCGTTGTGTCGTTAGACCGGAATAGTATATCTTCGGACTCGTCTTCTCACCGGCCCGAGCCTGGCACTGCATTCGCAAGCAAGCATCGCACTTATCGCTGAGCTGGTGTCGCCGCCGTCATCGCCGTCGTTGTCGTCATCGTCGCCGCTGTTGCTGTTGTTGTTGTTGTTGTTGTTGTTGTTGTTGTTGTTGTTGTTGTTGTTGTTGTTGTTGTTGAATATTTTGAACTATGGCACCTTGCACGTTTCATTGTATGCGTCGGATCGAAAAGGGGCGACAGAGGAAAGTGAATAACCGAGCAACAGTTGAACCTATGGCTCAAATTTTTCCCACTTTTTTACC